GGTGAGACTATTTAAAATACACTCTCTTAACAACTTTCAAATATATGATAAAGTATCATTAACTATAGTTCCAAAGCCTTACATTTGGTTCCTGGAACATATTCATTTTATAACCAGAAGTTGGTACTCTTTGATCAACATCTTCCCTCCCCTATTTCTTTTTAGTATTTTTAGTGTGGCTACTATAAATTTTAAGTTACATATGTCTTACATTACATGTCTATTGAACAGCATTGCTCTAGAGCAATTATTCTCAGCTCTGAGTATACAGGAGAATCACTCAAGGAGCTTAAAAAACAAACAAACCACCAGTGCCTATACCCCACCCCAGACTGATGTATATAAATCAAATTGCTGATAATGTGAACCTGAGGTTGACAATCTTCAGAAGCTTCCTGGATGATTTTAATGTGTTGCCAGGTATCAGAGTGACCGATCTAAAGATGGGTTCTGAATTTTTTCAGCTTGGGTTCCTTCAACAACTGGATTTGCGAAAATTTCCTCAGAAAATACACATTCACACACAATTAACATATATTTTCAAGGTATTTCTAGGCATCATACAAAGAACTCCTGTGTTAGACCTTTATGTGGTTTACTTATAAGAAACTTGGGTTTTACAGAATAAATTTTTTCATGTCCTTAGATCTAGACATTTATTTTTATACCTTGTTTCTAAGTAGGTAAACTGGAGCTAGGGTGAGCTGTCCATCTTAATCTCAGAAATGATTTTCTTTTTTTTAATTTACTAAGCATGTATAATGAGAACATATCCTGCTTAATTCTGCCTTATTTCCCCCATAATTATCTGCTATATTTTATTATGTATAGCTCTCTTTAAAAATGAATATACATCCTCTGACATACTGTTCCCTCTTCTGAGTTTTATATATTAGCTATTCTAATGTTTTTCAAAGATTTGAATTGTTATTAATGGCACTGCCAAAAATCTCACCTCCAGAAAATCTAGACTGCAAGAAATGTCCTTGTAGAATATTTCTCTGGAAATAACTATAAAACTGATTATAAAACACATGGTCAAATTAATTGAAAACAATTCATTCACGTATTCAAATATCAAGTACCTGGTGTGTGTGTAAGCACAAAGCACCAAGGAAACAAAACATTTCCGTCCTTAGGAGTCTTATCTAGTTTGAAGAGAAAGATAATAAACAAGGTCAGTAAAGATACGATGTACTGAGTGGCAATAAGATCTGTAGAAAAAGAAAAACAGGGATAGAGGAGTCCAAGAAAAACCTTTGATTGAACAGACATCTGAGTAAACCTAAAAAAGGTGAAGGAACCATCTATATAAATATCTAGAGGAATTACATCCCAGGCAGATGGAATTTGAATGTCCCCATGCAGAAGCTTGCCTGGCTTATTAGAAGAGTAAGAAATCAGTGTGATGGAAAAAAGTGATAAAGGGGAAAAGAGGCGAGAGGGGCAGCAGACACCAGGGTCATAGTTTGGTAGGACTGTTTGGGTCGTTAATGAGCTTGACTTTCACCACAAAGTGAGATGGGAGCCAGGAGACAGTTTCCAGTGGAGGAGTGATATGTTCTGATACAGGTTTTAAAAAGATCACTCTAGCAGATACTTGAGAATGAACTGAGGCTCAGGTAACAAATCATCCATAATGCTAGGGGACAGGTAATATGCTTTAAACTTAAGTGCTGTGTCTTCTCTCTAAATTTCTAAGTTACTATAATCACTTTATTTATAATCACTCTCAGCCTGTGTTATGTCCCAGGGTGGATAAAGCAGGAAGGGGAAGAACAGGAAGCAGCAGGAATGCATGGCTCCCAGGTCCTTTTCTCTCTTAGAAAAAAATGGATGGACATGCCTTTAAAAGCTTCTTTATCCTTGCCATAATTCATAACATCACTTGGGGCACTACATGCTACTTCCCGTCCAGTGAAACAGGAAAAATTAAGGCAGATGAAACATCTGTGGGCTTGTCTTAAGTAAGCAGTATATTTTCCAAGGATAAGGGTAAACTTAAAATGGACAATAACTAGATATTGTTTCAAAATATAGAGAAGCTTTTTTGAAATCCTGTCAACCAAAATGGGATCTTTGTGAAGCCATGTGATCACACAGAATTTTAAACAGTACATTTCCCCTCTTACTCATAAATAAAAACAGGTAAATACACCAGATTTCTAACATGGTTTCTTTGACAATAGAATTTTTCAAAAACTTAGCAGGATCTTTCACACACACACCATCATCCAATAGATTACAATCAAAGTTCCACTACAGTACAATGCAGAAAAGTTGATTCTCCCAAGAAATGATACTGGGTCTACTGTATTCTCCATGAGAGGGCAAAAAAAGCTGCATCTTGACCTCTACCTTCCACCATGAACAAAAACCAATTCTAGATAGATTGCAGATTCCAATATGAAAGAGAAAACAATGTAGATTTTAGAGGAAAATATAAGGAAATATCTTTGTGGCCTTGAATTAGGCAAAGATTTCTTGAACAGACACTAAAATTACTAATCCCAGAAGAAAATAATGACAAAATGGACCATACCAAAATCAAAAACTTTTTAACAAAAGATTTAACAGAGTAAAAAGGCAAACCACAAAGTGTGGCAGGACACGTATACTTGACAAGGAAGGCATATCTAGATTTATGAGCAACTCCTACTAATTTATAATAAAAAGATAGGCAACTCAGAAAAAGGACAAAAATTTTAACAGATGCTTAACGAATGATGATATTCAAATAGCCAATAAACATATAAAGATGTATTCAACTTCTTAGTCACCAGATAAAGACTAAAACCACAATATGATATCACCACACAAAACAGAAAAAAAAATACAGGAAGTATTGGCCAGTATATGGAGCAACTGAACCCTCAGATCTCATTGCTCTGATAGATGGATTAAGGAAACAGAAACTACTGCAGGCATTTTAAGCTGATGAAATTTAACTTGGAAACTAGATGCTCACAAAAATGTGTGAAAGTTCTTGTATTAGTTTGGTAAAATTGGCCCCAAAGTCAGCAGCTTAACATAATCACTGACATTTATTATGCCAGTTTCTAGGGGTCAGGAATCCCACACAACTTTGTTGGGTCCTCTAGCCCAGGGTCTTCCAAAGCAGCAATCAAGGTGCCCAACTGGACTACAGTCATCTCAAGGCTCAACTCGGAGGCTTTGCTTCATAACTCATGAAGCTGTTGTCAGGCCTCATAAAAACCTATTTTCAAGATCATTAAAATTAAATTTCTTCAGTTTAAAACACCCAGGGTAGTTTCTGTTTTTCCAGTAAATTATAACTTATGTACGTACCCTGCTACGCCCTTTGCATATTATCTCTGCTCTCTGAAATTTCCCATTCCCCCATAGCCTGTATGTGACCAGCTATTCTTTGCAACCCAAGACCAATTTTAAATGCCAGTTGTTTCTAGAATGTTCTTCCTAGTCTGATTTATTGCTCTGAATACATCAGAGCTGCTGTCTCATTTGGTTTTTTTAATTTATTTTTTTAAAATAATTGGCAGGATTACTTAATTAAAAATCTAGACTCAAAGGGGGAATGAGATATTGTTTGGTTCAATCCTTTTTTTTTTTTTTTGGTTCCTGTACAGAAACTACACATATTTCAAATATATAGTTTGACGAATTTTGATAGATGTATACACCAATGGAACTACTATCACAATCAAGATAGCTTACACTTCCATCACTCCCCAGAGTTGCTTTATTTCACAATATATACAAATACTGAATCATTATGTTGTACATCTGAAATTAATATACTGTTATATGTCAACTATACCTCAAAAAAAAAACCTATGATATCCTAGGAAAAATATCTCAAAACTAGTTGTAACTTCTGAAAATGGTTAAATTTTTTTTCATATTTCAGTTCTCTTCTCCCCCATTTTTTGTTAGCACCATATCCACATTCTCAGAACATAAAGCCCTTATGAGATAGTTGGCACCTGGGGCCCTTTACAGGCGTGCTTGCGCTTACACCTGGACAAACTCACCCCCAGCAATAGAACACAAAGAAACCATACGGGACTAAAAATAACTCCACCCACACACAGTCTTGGCAATTATGAACACTAAGAAACAAAAAGGCCACAAACTAACTGCCACTTATGAGGTGCTGTGAGCAAAAACCGGCATCGCGCAATGATCCTTTCACACAGCACCACCACGAGGGTGGGGAAACCACCTGAACCACCCCTCCCGTCTGACCCACCAATCAGCCTGCATCCTCACCCCATTTCAACAACCAGCCCGCCCTCCTTCAAGAGCAAGCAAGCGCACCTGTTACTTGTTTTTGTTCCCTCATGCTTAAAGCACGAGTCCCAATAAAGGCTTCCCCGAATTCCTCACCTGGCCTCTATCAATTTCTATTGATTGAAGAGCCCAAGGACCCGAATCTATATTCATTACATACTATAATCTCTTCTTTTAAACCCTCATCTAATCTTAATTCTACAAGTAACTGTATATTTACTGCTCACACTAATCCATCCTGCAGTATCTCTTTAGTTATTTTGATTTGAGAAGCTGGTTCTTTAGTAGATTCCTCGAGGAGGGCTCCTGAAACACTGCTGTAAAGACAGGATCAGCATCACAGGTTTTTCCTTTTGCCTCAAGGCTGCACTATGGCTCAGCATCAGACTGTGAATAATTCTACCTTTATCTAAGTTTGATACCTTGTTTATTCATCTAGGATTTCTTTCTTTGGCATCAAATTTGCTGTCTGAAAAATTATTGCATTAAAATCTCATTTACCTTGATTCCCAAGTTGTTTGGTGCCCCTGAAATTTTGTGCCCGAGGCCAGGGCCCTTTTTCGCCTTTCCTGGTTCTAGTCCTGAGTTGCAGCTTCTCTGGGACACCTGTCTTTACGGGTCCCAAACTACTTAATTTCGATTCCACTGCCTACGCTGACTTCCATCCTGGGGTTCAGTCCCAGTGCAGTCCCGGTGCCTCAGAGAATTCAAAGACTTTCACACCTTACCTTAGACTTCTGCCTCAATCACTGGTGGAGTGAGCCAAGTCCCTGCGCGTCTCACCAGCAGCTTCCCCCCGGACTCCTGCTCCGCACAAGCTCCCGACGCTCGTGTGGTTCCTCACGTGACTCCTGCACCCGCGCATACGTAGGGCTCTCCTGGGAAGGGGGCGGGTTCCGGCTTACTCTGCTGCTGTACTAAGCATGCGCAAAGTCCTCAGGCGTCCGGTCACATGGTTGCTTCCTTCTACTTTTCCCACTTTTAAAGTGATATTGTGCAGATCTGGTGGCCGTTGTCCACCTAACTTGCATTTTGCAGTAACAGGGGAATACTTTGTCATTTAGTCTTGTTGTAAATATTATCCATGGGTTTGGCTTCAATATCTTGTTGCTCTGTATGTGTTATGTGGGGATTCTGGAAGACACAAGCTATGCTTCCATGACCAGCGCCACCTTGCCTGAATTCTTTAATTTATGCTTAAAAGGATACTTTAAAAGAAAACAGTGGAGAACCAGAATTATTTTCTTATGTACAGAAAGCATTTTTTAAAAATACGTTAAAAAACCCCACAAAACGCTTGTTTGCTCAATGCGTAGGTATGTTCTCATTGTTAACAAGGGAGACTGCAACTGCTAGGGATGTGACAGCTCCTGGTCCAGGCAAGATGTAGACCAGTCTAAACACCCTCGGGTTTCAAACACCCAGGCGTGTGATGGCCTGGCCAAGCTCAGAGAGAGAAAGGGAGAAGCTTTGGGAGTGAAGAGGGAAGGGGAAACCAGGTGCAAGTTTGTGATCCAATGTTTCAGCTATCAGGGTAGGGTCCTGCTATTGGTTCACAGAGCCAGGTGAGTGAATGAGTTTCATTCCCTTTTGATGGAAGAGGAGGCAGGGATCAGGGATGGAGAAACACACATATATATGCACACACATAAAACCAGGTTTGTTGGTGGACTGTTCCCCTAATAGAGGGTTGATTAGAAAATACTCTACTCATTGAGGAAGCTTTGTTGTCTGGGTTCTGAGTGAGGAAGAAAGGGACTCCCCTGAGGGGAAAAATGATTAGGCCTTTGCAAGGGACTGAATATTTATGTCTTTATGTCCCCCCAAATTCATATGTTGAAATCTTAACCTCTAAGGTGATGGTATCTGGAGGTGGGACCTTTGGGAGATTAGGTCATGAAGGCAGAGCCTTTATAAATGGCATAAGTGCCCTTGTGAAGGAGGCTTGAGAGAGCCCCCTTGCTCCTTCTGACATGTGAGAGCACAAGAAAAAGTTAGTATCGATGAACCAGAAACTGGGCCCTCACCAGACACCGAATCTACATGCACCTTGATCCTGGACTTCCCAGCATCTAAAACCATTAAGAAATATATTTCTGTTGTTTATATGTCACTCAGTCTATGGTATTTGTTATAGTAGCCCAAAGGGAATAAGACAGCCTTTGATTCAGGCAGACAGTGTCTGATTATAAGTGTT